TCCCGACCCTAGGGATGGAACCCAGGTCTCCTGCATTGCAGGTGGATTCTTTACCATTTGAGCCACCAGGGAAGCCCTGACGATGTTTAATTCTACAAATTTCAACACATCAAAGAATGTTCCACACTGAATGGCACTTAAGGGGATGATGACCAGACGTGGCCAGTGCCAACAAGTCCTAGGAGAGTGTACCTCATATGTCTCTTCAGAAATACGAGACTGCTTATCTCGCATTTTCCTCAGCTTTCTGGCCTTAGATGAAAATCAAAGTTAACCAGAATTCTCTTGTTCTGTGGATTGTGCAGCAACTGGTACAGTGTAAATGTCGCCATATTGTCGTTGCTAATGAGATAGCACAGAACTTGTAAACCAGGCTTGATTTTTAGAGGTTCTACCTTATCCATTAACATTTCAGCAGAAGAGAACGCAGTTACTCACAGCAATGAAGTCACATTCTCACACAGGGTACATTCAATAAAGGCAAAATGAGCAGTCCATCAGAGAAACCGGTGATCTTGAACAAGACTTAATTGTCCCTTTAAATTACTAGGTAGTTCCTTTCATTCTTTTACTCATCTGAGACTGTGGTTCTACGGCTGCTTTATTTTGTTTTAATCAAGAAAACAGAGAAAGTCATTGTTGTGAACATTAATGATGACAGTCTGAGAGTCTTGATAATTGGTTAGATGCACCAAATATCAGGCCTTGATAGTTACAAAGATAGAAGCCAAAGAAAGACAAGTCTCATGTATTCCTGTAGCTGTCCAGAAATTACTGCTTTCTAATAAACTCACTGCAAGCAAAGAGTAGGCCAAGATTGAGCTAAGAAGAAGGAAACCGGTCCAAAAAGTTACATAATCAATAGATGGTATGAAAACTTTTCATAAGAAGGTATTAATATTTTAAAGTATTTGGATCTACAAAATAAAATTGCTCAAGCCCTCACCAAAAAAAAAAAAAAAAAGGGAAAGAGAGAGGGAATGCTTTTGACCTTCTGTAGTATAACCACATTTCAGAGCAGCTGATCAGTTAGTTTTTTGTGTCTTTGCTTTTGTTGGTTTGCTTTTTCCCTGGTAGAAATTGTATCCATGATATGATGACATGTTAATTGCTGTCATGTCCAACTCTTTGAAACCCCATGGACTAGGGTTCACCACACTCCACTGTCCATAGGATGTTCCAGGCAAGAATACTGGAGTGGGTTGCCATTTACATTTGCAGGAGATCTTTCCGACCCAGGGATGGAACCTGGGTCTCCTGCATAGGAAGCAGACTATTTACTGTGTGAGCCACCACGGTCAGCTCAGAAATTGTACCATTACGGGTATATTTCCTGACACGTCTATTATAGATTTATGCTAGTTTTGAACAAACTGCCATATTAAACCTCTAAAAGATTACAGAACAAAAAAATAAAAAACAATAAGTTATAGAAAACAGGACAACTTAGCAAAATCCATTTTTTTTCCTTTTAAAAAAAAATGTCTTACTTCCAAGTGATTACTTCTCCTATTTTTCTTCCAAGTTCCACTGATTTAAGACTATAAATAAGCATGTGTGTATACACATATATGACTCACGGCCCGTGGAGGGCAACATGAAGGATCGTGGGCTCCTGCAAACAACAGTTTGATGAGTGTGGCAAAGGAAGATGGCAGAGTAGAAGGAGTTGCAATCCTCTTCTCCTGTGAGAACGCTGAAATTACAATTCACTGCTCAACAACTGTTGACAGGAAGAACGTTCAGTTCAGTTCAGTTCCTTAGTCATGTCCAATTCTTTGAGACCCCATGGATTGCAGCACGCCAGGCTTCCCTGTCCATCACCAACTCCCAGACTTTACTCAAACTCATGTCCATTGAGTCGGTGATGCCATCCGATCATCTCATCTTCGGTGGTCCCCTTCTCCTCCAGCCTTCAATATTTCCCAGCATCAGGGTCTTTTCAAATGAGTCAGTTCTTCCCATTAGGTGGCCAAAGTATTGGGGTTTCAGCTTCAACATCAGTCCTTCCAATGAACATCCAGGACTGATCTCCTTTGGGATGGACTGGTTGGATCTCCTTGCAGTCCAAGGGACTCTCAAGAGTCTTCTCCAACACCA